AAAAAAAAACAAAGAACATGGCTAATCTCATTCCCAAATCTATTTTTAAATAAATAAACGCGATTGTTTTAAAATTAGGCTACAATTGTGACTAAAACACCTCAATTTCCACCAGCCCCTCTCCCTCTTTCTTTACTAAAAACTAACACTACTTCATTGCTCACCATCTTTTTTTAAAAGACAAGGAAAAATTACTATTCAGTCAGCTTCATCCCCGTAATAAGCCAACACAAGCATTTCTATGCAGTGTAAAAATAGTGACAAGCCAACTCACCGTTCTTCCTTTATTATACCTGCCAGAAAAGCAAAGCATGCATGCATGTGTGTGTGTGTGTGTGTGTCTGTGCAATACGTTAAAACTCACTGACATACGATCCGGTTTTCAGCACACACTCCCAACAGGACCTGCCCGATAGACAGAGCTCTCGTTTTCTCTGCACCCCCAGCATGTACTGAGACACACAGTTTCGGTATACTCCCAGCCAAAAAATAACAACAAAAAAAAGGACCAAAGGAAACACGTATGAAATACACACAGTGTAGCTGGAACGGATGCTGTTGGTTTAAAAATTGTCTGTCTAGCCTCTGTGCTGAGTATTTGTTTTTATCATTATAACACAAATGAAACATGTCAGGAGTCTAAAAATAGCTACAAATTGTAATTACATATGCTTTGTAGTTTCTGTTATACTTTGAAAAGAAGATTAAAAGCTAGATCATTTTAGAAACCGGCCTTAAAGATTTCTGGAGCCAAAAATTCTTCTACTTTGCTATTTGGAGCACGCTGCTGGAAAACATTTCCTTTGGGACATAAATATGACAGCCCCAACATGGAGAAGCCAGCTCCCAACACCATACAATGAGATGGCAGGAAAGAAAAGGAAGAAGAGTAGACAAAGAAAAAAGTAATTTCTTAGAGATTCTAAGAGCACCCTGATTACAGATGTAATACTATAAGCTTTAATTAGGAGCTAAGTGCTGTGTGCTAAATTCATCCCCACACACGGCACTGTATATTCAGAGTCACCCTAAGTAAGTTACCTTGGGTTTACGATGACTGTACAACAGCAATGCCCGGCCTACAGCTTCTGCAATAGCCCCTTAATGAAACGTGGATTTTGTTGAACAAGCATTAAGCTACGCAATATCCTGCTGATACAAATTAAGTTCTTTCCCATAAGCAATGAATTAAATGAAAGGTTAGCAAAAATTAATTTTAAGTAGTCATCAGAAGGTAAGCACTCTTGAATCTTGAGTAAAGAGCCTTTGTTCCTCCATGACATAAAACAGTTCAGACCAGAGTCTTCAGCAGCCCCTGTCCCAGTGTCCCTGCAATGGGCACTACGTGCAACGTTAGCTCACAACTCGGGAGCAGTAATCAAACAACTTATTTTACAGCAGCTGTGTGCTACTCCTATTATACCTGCTAGAATTTATTAGGCAATAAATAGTTTGGTAGCAACTTAAGAGATGCAAGTATTGCCCATCCACACGCTAATTTAATCTCAGAACACACGCTTAATGCCCCGAGTCCGTTTGCATAAGCACTGTTGCCGTAATACAGTTTCAGGAACACAAGGAGAAACTGCTAACATGAAGTGTGTAACAATGCTGATGCACCGCTATAGATAACCAAGATGTAAACAACATCAAAAAAACGAACAGCCAGCACTGAGTAATCATCACATTAAAAAAAAAAAAGGGGGGGGGGGAACACAACAGAGCTCACTAGCTTCAAATGGCTAAGCAGGTTCAGCAGATCAAGAGACCGAACATTTGCTGACTAACAGTTAGGTAATGAAAGTAAACATTTGCAATGAAGTCATCATCCTCATGAAAGCCATGGCAGTGTTAACTACCTGGACCATAATCCACTCACTAGCAGGTTTCAGTGCAGGCTCACTAACATAATATTTACTAGAACCACTCCAGCTGGAAAAGGAAAGGAAGTTCCATTTACTTCTAATGTAGAAGTGACAACCAAGAAACACTGCTATCTGTTGAGCTGTTTTAACTCCCAAGTACTGTACTGGGGACACCCAGAGAGTTTCTGCGAAGTTACAATGGGTAACTGAACAACAGAACTTTGCCTTCAGTGTCTTGAGTCAGAACAGCTTTATCCTAGCACTGAAGTGTATAAATATTTGCAGCATGTAAAATGACTGCTGTGAAAAAACAATGTTGCTCCAAGTTTCAAATATTTGTATTGCAAATAAGTAATCAAATAAATGAGACTCTTTTATTTTTTTCCCAGGTTTTTTTCTTTTTTTTTTTGCCACACTCTGATGAGGCATCTGAATTAAGTTTATGGCTACAGAAAAAAACACACGACCATAGTAAGTTTTAGCAGATTTCAGATTCGCATACAGAAACTGTAATTCCACCCAGAATCACCCTCATGCAACTCCGAATAGGCAATGGGAGTGGCAAGTGTGCTTATAAGGGGGCAGCACTAGGTTCACAAGCAACAAGTCAATTCACAGGACGGTTGTACATGCTTTTATCCAATTGAAGAACATCACACTTTTATGAAAAACAGTACTAAGTCCATTTCCCTCTTCTGTGCAGAAATCCAATGCTCATTTAGGCTTAAAAGGTATGTATCTACAAATTCATGCTTGTGTCTCAAAAACTTAAACAGGCATATTTTCTTGCAAAATTTGCAAGCCTGGACAAGCTGCTTCCTGCAAAATGCAATCACTCCATTTCAGCTTTCTATTTTGATGATTTTAAGAAACATTACAATCAAATCCAGATTTCCAATTTAAGTACACATGTATAGACTTCATCACTAGTCTCACAAAATCTTAGACATTGGTTCATTTTGCATACTGCATGTAATCCTAGAGAAATCCTGGAAGTTCTTGGCACAAATTTAAGTCTTCACAGAAGTGAGGCCTTCCAAGCTGACGTTCTGGATCATACCAAATATAGATGCCCTTCATTAGATAGGACCTCAGCATAAAACTCTCCAGTTAGGATCACAGATAACTAGAAATAACTGTTGACATCACCTGCACACAGAGGTTGTAACAAAAAAATCCAAATAAACAGGCTGCCCAAAGTTTGTAAGAGTTGGTGACTACATAATTTCTATAAGGATACTCTTCCAGGTCCCCTCTTGTGCAAGCACCCACAGCAGGGTGCATTTTAAAGATAACTCATTTTTCAGTCAACTGATGCCAAGGACACAGTTTCTTAAGGGGATTTGTAAAGTGTTAAGACATAAACACCCTCCTTTGCTAAAATGAGGGATCAATTCAATAGGCAGAGATTCAGAATGGTGGCACAATCGTTTTCAACCCCTTCAGTGAATACTTCTGTACTGATAATTGCTATTGTTAAATCTTGGTGACAGCACAATACTATGACCAATCATAAAAATCTTATGATGAACCTAATTTTTAAAGCAAAGACATTAGTCACTGTCACAGTGAAACTTTAATCTACAAAAGCTGAATGTCACTCCTCTTGCTCCATTCCAGGCAGACACAGTTACCGAGGTCACTTGCAAACAATAGTAGGTAGATTTCACCCTAGTGATGTAAACTGTTTTCTTTTCTATGATGCACAGAGAAGTAGTAGTTCACGGAGGGACTTTATGCAGCTCTTGATGCACACCTTCTCGCACAGCAATTTAGAAGGTTATGCTGAGCTTAGACAGGGGCTATGCTAACAAAGACCACTCCTCTCTTTAAACATGTTTTAGACCATTCTTTAGGACAATTGTTATTCTCACTGATGCTTTATTTTTTCCTTTCTTTTTTTTTTTTCTTTTCCCTCCTGTAGGTATTACATTTGCATACTAAACTGAACACTTTAGGGGGAGGGTACAATGCCCTATTGTTCACTCAGATCACATAGCACTTATCACGAAGTAGATGTCATTTCAACACCACTCAGTTTTATAGGAACTAAAGGCTTGAAAACAAACCCCAGGCAAGAATTTTCAGAGATAGCTAAGAAATAGTTTACACCAGGAGCCAGTAATGGTGTGCATGCACCAGTAACACAGAGCCCCAAAAAAATGACCTTATTGTACAGAGCACATTCAAGATAGCTATGGCAGCTACCCTTGTAAAACTAAAGATGTCTCCTGGAATAACCGCACCATGATACTAATTACACCACCAGTGTTCCTACACAACTTCAACTTCCAGTTCCACCAGGGAGGAAGCTCCAAAAACCACTGAAGGTTGACAGGTGACACAAAATGGGGTGCACAGAGCAGCAAGCACATGACCAGGCCGACTGCAGGCTTGCATAACTGAGGTGGAGGACATGGTGGTGGGAAACAAAGCAGCAGCGTCCACTGAGAGACAACATATCCTGGCCAGCTGCACCAGACAAAACTACCTGAGCAAAAGTACCAAAATACTCCCTACCTCGATGAAACTTCTGCTCCCATCACCACCACCCTCCCACCACTGCTCCCCCCAAAATATCAAACACTTCTTACAATACAATTATTTTTGGCCCACTAGCAGCAGCCAGCCTGGCAGGCAAGCACAGGAGGGTTGTCGCTGCACCCAAAGGCGCATTATCACCCGCACCTGCCTGTGGGACACAGATCCCATGCCACAAACACGGGTGCTTGAGCACACACGTGCACCTGCCTCAGTGAAGCAATCTCACACCTGGCAGGACCTACCGGCACACACGTCTGGCTCATGTGCAGCAATGCAATGTACCCCATCCCTGCCCTGCATGTGTGCATACACACCCCTATCCTGCCTGCCAAAACATCCTTCCCTGCCCTGCGTGCACCTGTCCTGCGTGCAACAGCGTGCTCCCCAGTATGTACATACACACTTTCCCCTGTCCCATCTACTTGCGAGGCTGACGGGGCGGGGCAGCTGCCGGTCACTGCCCTCCCTCAGGGTCAGCATCCTCCTGCTTGGTACTGGACACACAGGGCCTTAACACACCCACAAGAAAGCTACGGTCAAAAATCAGGATGCACGCATCCTCCAAAATAAAACTCTAGGCTATCAGTCTACCCACACATCATGCACAGGGAAGAGGACACAAGGGAAATCTGACACATCTTGAGAAAAACTCCCCCTCTCAAATCAACTCATATTATGCCATTCAGCTTTTGCCTAAAATTACACGTTTCTCTTTTTTTTTTTTTTTTTTTTTTTTTTTTTCTTTGGGTGGGGGGGAGAAGCCAACGAAATACACGGTTGCCAAGTCGAGTTAATGAAAAACCCTTTGGCTGTTAACTCATTTAGTGCAGCAAGCATGAAATAAAGTCCGTGGCACGGGGCCAAAGCGCAGCGGCCCTTTGCCGGGCGGGCTTCTGGGACCTCTCCCCGGCCGCCGAGCCAGCCCCGAGCACAGCGGCCAGCCCACGGTTTTGAGGAGAAAAATCTCTAGAAATTCGTAAATCCAAAAAAAAAAAAAAAAAAAAAAAAAAAAAAAAAAAAAAAAAAAAAAAAAAAAAAAAAAAAAAAAAAAAAAAAAAAAAAAAAAAAAATTGCACAAAAATCAAAATATCGATGGTTCCGCCAGGCCCGCGGAGATTTCTCATCAAGGCAGTTTTGCACCCACTTCCAAAATAAACCCGACCCCACCTCTCGACGGGGGTCGGCGACGGGGCATCAATAACGCGGCTGGGCGGGCGGTGCGCGCAGCGCCGGGCAGGGGGCAAGGCGGGGGCACAGCGGATCCCCGCCCCACCTCGCCGCGCCCCGACACCCCAGGGCCGAGCGGAGCGGAGCCGAGCGGGGCCGGGCCGGGCCGGGCGGTGGCGGGGGGCGGGCCCGCGGGCTGGAGCCGCCCCGGCGGGGCGGGAACGCCGGCGGGCGGGGGCTCGGCTCGGCGTCCGTCCGGCCCCATTCCTCAGCCTCCTCCACCGCCCCCCCACCACACCACACCCCCCCCCGTACCGCAGCACCCCCCGCGTCCCTCCCCGCCGAGGAAACTTCTGCGCTCGCAGGGAAAGAGTTCGGAACCGCAGCCGGGGAGACGCTGGGTGCGAGCGGGGGGGCGGCGGGGAGCGCCCGGCGATGGGGAGCGAGGGGAGGAGGAAGAGGCGGCGAGAGAGTTGCGCCTCTCCCCAAAAAGAGACTTTGACCCCGCATCGCTCTCCGGCGGACCTCGAATTACATATTTTTGTCACAGGTCGGATCCTAACGCAGATCGACACAGCGTCTAATTTATGAACTCATCAGCCTAATTTCATTATTTAATCATGCGCCCAGCAATCGTGTTTCCTTAAGAAAGGACTGACCTATTTTTGGCTGGAGATAAACGATCATGTTAACAGATGTTAATCTTGTAATCTGTTTTTCCTGTAAGCACTTCGCATACCCACGTTTCAGACATCAAAAAAAATAATAAAATCTTGCCCGAATGACTTGACGTCACGATTCAGTTCTTATTTAAAAAAAAAAAAAACTAGCAGTGGTTTCAAAGACATTAAATCTTTTTCACTTTATAAATGCTGATTTGTTCTGCCTCAACTCCCACAGGCTTTTATTTGCATTTCAAATTCCACAGGTTACACCAGTCGCCTTTTCAGAAAATGTAAACCAACAATAAGGCAGCAAATGGGGGGGGGGGGAGGGGAACCCTGCATCTGGATTAAATAAAGAACAGAATTAATGTTTCGAAAATAGTCCGAGCAAAATGATATTTGCACGTCCAATGCCCGAGCGCCTCCCCATCTAGAGGGGTAATGTAAAGGATAAGATGTGGGCACACACAATACGCATTCCCCAGAAGATCCCTGTCTGCTGCTGGGAGCTTATTAACGCTCCTAATAAATGGTGCTGACTCCAAACCGACACCTTTCGGCTTAAAACACTGGGTTTGTCTCCAGCAGTTAATTGCAGAGGTTAGCTGGTTTGAGGGGAAAAACAACGGCCGGCTGTCATGCTCCACACGCCTCCCCACACGTACTGCCAGTTTTAGCACCCCACCTTCTTCCCTCATAGCAAAGTTTACCCATCCAAACTTTCCTCAACTTGCCCAAGTGCTTAATTCGCATTAGGATCGCGACTCGGCGCTATGCTAATGATCACCGAAGATAGTAGCGGGGGGAGGGAGGGAGGGACGAGGAGGAGGAAAGCTTTTAGAGCACAAAATGTCTGGAACTGTATTATTTCTATTCTTCTTTTCTCTCCCTCTCTCTTTCCTTCCTTTCCTCCTCTCGACACCCCCCACACACACCCTTTTTTTTTAACACGTATATTAGACTCCCTGCTTCCCTCCCCACCCCACCCGCATCAAACGAGCGATTTTTCCTCTTCTGGAAATAATCGCTACGGAGACATTGTCCTCCGAGCCCTCCTCGCTGTCTATATGTGAATAATTGTTTTCTCTGCCCGCCCACCCCCAACTTCCTTTGATAAACTGTGTACTTCTCTAACGGGGATCAAGCAGCGACCGACTCACCACGGAACCGAGAGCGACTCAAAAAACAAGGGGGGGACACACATGGACACAGTCCCACATCGGGCATTTCACGCACACGCTGAATCAATACTATCGGGGAGGAGCGGGGGGGGGAAACAACCCACTCCTATTAATTGAAGTGGCTATTCGGGGTTCGAAGACCCATCACCCACCTTCTTTAGCCGAAGCATTTTACTTTAAAGTGAGGCAATTTGTTCTTTGTCTCTTAATGGATTAATATCGCAGTCCGCCCCCCCCCCCTCAACGCCCCTGACGGAGCGTACAAAGCCAAAAGGCTCCTGGAGCCCGCAGGGCTCCCCCACCCCCCCGCACCACCACTGCAGTAAAACCGTCCTCCTCGCCGAACAGTGCAAAGTTACCATTTTGGAGACGCTCCGATAACCGGGGGGACAGTCCTCCGGTACTCGGGGGGAGGCGCGAAGTTTTTTGTTTTTTGGGTTTTTTTTTCGGTTTTTTCCCCCCCCCCCCCCCCCCCCCCCCCCCCCCCCCCCCCCCCCCCCCCCCCCCCCCCCCGCCTCGCCCCGCCGCCCCTCACCTCCTGCGCGGCCGGCGGCGTTCGGGGAAGGGCGCGCCGAGCAGCCCTGAAGGTGAAACCACGCGCCGCATGCGAGCGGCGCCGCGCTGCACATGATCCGCCGAGCGGCTCCACTGGCGCGGGCGGGGGCGGCCCCGCCGGCCCCCGCCGCGCCCCGCGCCCGCGCACCGCCCCCGCCGCGCCCCGCCCGCCCCAGCCCCAGCGCCGCCGCCGCCGCCGCCGATGCCCCCGATGCCGCTGCCGCGCGTCCCCCGGCGGCCGCCGCGGTGTGGCCGGTGCGGGACCCGCACGCACACGCCGGCCACTATTGTCTCCGTGGAGCAAAGTTGGGGCGCGGGGCGCCGGTCGCCCCCGGGCGCTGCTGGAGCGCGGGGCGGAGGGCGGTGGGGAAGGGCGGGCTCTCCGCGTTTGTGCGGGCGCGGCGTGGCGCTTTTGCCGACCGCCGCCCCGGTTCCCACGTACCTCCTCCGCCGCGAAAGGTGCGGGCTGGAGTTGCCCCAGATGCATTTCTATGAGAAACTTTATTTTTCCTTTTTT